GTCTTTTCTTTTTGAGGACCGATATCAATCATCTCTGAGCTATATCTTTCACAGTGGGCCTGAATCTCTTTTTACAGGAAGGCTCCTTTACAATATTCTGGCAGTATAAACAGGTCTTAAAGCATGTGTAAATGAGCATCACGGCCTTTGTCTCTATTTGTGTCTCTCTGTGTCATCCCTTTCACTTCGCCAGTGACACCAGCTTCAAGGCCCCCTTCATTTTCTTCTTGCAGTCCTGCTTCCATGTTTTTTTCCATGACATTCCCTATGTCTGGAATAGCCAGACAGCACTTTTTCACCAAGCTCCTCTCCCCTTCTTCATTTCTACTTTTCCTAAATTCTCACTTCTAGCATGTCAAACTAAGTTAGTTAAATTGGTGCCATTTCTGTGTGTAGCCTGAGCCCCTAATGTTCTCTCCCCCCGGGTACAAAGTTTACAGTCTAAAGTTTAGACCACCCTTAAGTTCTTTTGCAGTATCAGTTTTTGGTAATATTTGAATTGCCCTTTCTGAGCACACACAAATTCAGTAGTACCAACTCTTGTGAATTAATCGCAAGTAACTGGATTTTGGAGCCTGCAGGGGGAGCTCTCATGATAACATGAGAAGCTTCTCCATTCCTACAATTTTGAGGGCTGCTCCAGACACAGCAGCAGCACAATGTGACTACAGGAGGAGTGGAGCCTTCGCCATCCCTGCTGCAGCTGAGCCTTGGCAGCACTTCCCTAATGCACACTGCTCACACACAACAACACACTCCACTCCAGGACTTCTCTTGGAAGAGCAGCTGCTAGGTTCCAGGCAGAGGAGAATCCCTGGAACAGCAGGGAGAGCAGAAAAGGTGGGGGCAGTTGGGGAAGTGTTGCTTCTTGCAAAAGGCTAAACCAGTCCCATCGTGTGTTTCCTGTAACAGTATAATTTATATGAATGATTGATATAAGTTGTGACATAGAAATATTGTCATTATATAGGATCGTTTTTGGAACATTACAAATACTTCAAATATAAAATTGCATATTATTCATGTGTATGAATAATGTGCAATTTTATATTTAAAAATTATAAAGTTTGTGGGGAGAACAACTTTATGCTTTATAAAAACAATGTTTCTAGAGCAGGGAATGGGGGGGGGGGTGGAGAGAAAACCACTGGAATCATGCTCATCCCACAATATATCCATTCCCTTCTAGATGTAAGAGCTAGGGTGACCAGATGTCCCAATTTTATAGGGATAGTCCCGATTTTTGAGTCTTTTTATAGACTCATAGACTCATAGACTTTAAGGTCAGAAGGGACCATTATGGTCATCTAGTCTGACCTCCCGCATGATGCAGGCCACAAAAGCTGACCCACCCAATTTCCCTTATCTCAGCTGTTGAAGTCTCCAGATCGTGATTTAAAGACTTCAAGTCGCAGAGAATCCTCCAGCTTGCGACCCCTGCCCTATGCTGTGGAGGAAGGCAAAAAACCTCCAGGGCCTCTGCCAATTTACCCTGGAGGAAAATTCCTTCCCGACCCCAAATATGGCGATCAGCAGAACCCCGAGCATACAGGCAAGATTCTCCAGCCGGACCCACATTTTACCAGCGATGGCACGTCATTGCTTAATTGAATAAAATCATGTTATCCCATCAAACCATTTCTTATGTAGGCTCCTATTACTCCCCACCCCTGTCCCGATGTTTCACATTTGCTGTCTGGTCACCCTAGTAAGAGCACTACTGCTTAAGGCCCTGATGCTGCAATAAGCATGTGGGTGCAGTAGTCCCCCAAACAGAGCTCATTGCAGGGTTGGGGGGGGGGGTCTAGCCAGATTGTGAATCAAAGGCAAACCTAGCAACTGTCAAAGGAGAGCAGTCAAATATCACGTGGTGTCAGTGAAAGTCCTTTACTGAAGGAGCATTTGTCTAAGAGTTCAATACAAACATTCATCCTGCTGAAATGCAATTCTCAGATGCAGTCAAACCACAGTGAATGAAAGAAGGAAAGACAGAGTATATCACCAGGGAAATACAGAGTTAAAAGATTCTAGAAAGAAAGAAAATACTGATTAGGTACCACCCAGAAGCCACAACCTTACTCCATTTACTCCTTCCCCCCTCAAATAATATCATAGCTGTGTGTTTGTTTGGCTAGGCATGTTCTTTCACAGACTTCGGGTTTGCAGACTACACCCATATACTAAGGAAAAAGAACCTTTGTATTACACTAAAGTTACCTCTCCCTCCCCCTCTTTTTAGGGCTTAGAACATAGAAGAGGAGATTAGTAAAAACACTAATGTAAGGCAATCTAGCCAGCTGTCAATCTCGTTCATGAGGTACCCATCCACCCTGTGTGAGACAAACAGGATGAGGAAGTAAAAAAGAAAAAGTCCCAAACAAAAGATGTTTCTCTTTGCATTCCCCGGGATTGCAGGGCTGTGCGACTGTACGTGCGTTGTCTTGCCATAATGACTGTTATTTGCAGCAGGTGTCACTTGTGAGGCAGAGCTTTACTGAGAACGAATCACACTAGAACTGACTCCTGGGGCGCTGTGTTGCCATTGGAGTCGGATGTCAGGGGGATCCGGATGCAGGGATTTCACACCACGGCAGTGGGCCTGGCGGGAGGCAGGGCAACATTCTCTGCATGTCTGCTGCAGACACCAGGAAGTGACAGCAGAGGGCACTGCCTATTCGGTAGGGCGCTGCAGAGCCAACCCCACCCCACGCCCCCAGACACTTAGGGAACGTCTGAAAAGTGTAAGAGAAAATGGGAAGAGAAAGTGCAAGAAATCTCGGGAACATGCCGGCAGCTTCCTTCATGCTGTGTGCAACAGAGGGGGCACAAAATGTGCAGCTGACAGGAGAAATTGTAAAGTTGCTGGTTAGGACAAGAAAAAGGCAAACAAACCCTACATGAATGTAATTGTAAGAATGAAAAGTGAACATGAAATCAGGTATTCTGGGTATCCCAAGAATACTGGCCCAAATACTGATCGCTTGTACATCAGTGCAAATTCAAAGTAACTCCACTGAGGTCAGTATAATTACTTACTCCTCATTTGCACCAGTGCACTCGAGATCAGAAGTTAACTATGCCATACTGCAGCTATTGTGGCATTATATTTGGTGGGGGCAAAACTGCAATAAATTGCATGTAAAATTTTACCCCACAATGAATTGCCAGGAAAAGGCAGTCACAAAACAGTAGGCACAATTCACTGCAGCTGCAAAACTGTGCCTGCAAAAACAGAAGTCTGGCTAGCAAACAGGCCTTTTAAGAGGGAGGGTCAATGTTGCTATGAGAGTGTTTGCATTTCTTGTTTTTCTTTGTTTTATTTTAAAGTCCCCATTTTCAGAGAGAGCACCAGAGAGGAAAGTCAGAGACCTGAGTTCTAGTCCTGGCTGTACCATTTTCTCACTCTGTGACCCCAATGGGCACATTACATCTCATCTCTATGCCTGTTTGTCTATCTGTAAAATGATCATAGACTTTAAGGCCAGAAGGGACCATCCTGATCATCTAGTCTGACCTCCTGCACATTGCAGGCTACAGAACCTCATCCACCCACTCCTGTAATAGATCCATAACCTCTAGCTGAGTTACTGAAGTTGTCAAATCATGAAAATAATTTTAAAGTTAAGGCAACTAGATTTGGAAGAAACTTAGGGCTTGTCTACTACACTTAAAATGATTAGCAACTCCTTTTTAAAGTACTTTGAGATGTATGGATGGAAAGTGTGATATAATATATGTGTAATATATGATTAATAATACTTAATGCGATTTTAAAATGCAATATTCAAGGATACCACCTCCTCTTCCCTGCAAAGAAAAAAGGGTGAAAAAAGGATTGAAATAATTGAATTGACTTCTGCTACCCTGGATCACTTGTAATTCTTTCCACTTTCAGGCAGAAGCCTCTTAACTGGACAGAGGCACAGACAGACATGAGTGTGAAATTTACAAAGAACTCCCAGTGGACACCTATTGCAATGGGGAATGACTGGATTCAATAAGAGAGACAATGTGGGTGAGGTAATATCTTTTATTGGACTAAATTCTGTTGGTGAGAGAGACCAGTTTTCATGATTACACAGAGCTCTTCTTCGGGTCTGGGAAATGTACTCCAAGTGTCACTGCTAAATACTAGGTGGAACAGATTGTTTAGCATAAGTACTTAACACATTTCAAGCAGGGCCGGCTCTGGCTTTTTTGCCGCCCCAGGCAAAAAAGCCTCCGTCCGGAGGGCGGCAAGCCCCGGCGGGGGCTCCGCTCTCCCCCCGGCGGCCGGAGCCCTGGGAGAAGGGCGGCGAGCCCCGGTGGGGGCTCGGCTCTCCCCCCCCAGCGGCCAGAGCGCAGGGGGCAGGGCAGCGAGAGGGCGGCGAGCCCGAGCAGGGGCTCGCTGCTCTCCCCCCGGCGGCCGGGGGGAGGGTGGCCAGAGCGCTGGGGGGAGGGCGGCGAGCCCGGCTGTGGCCCCGCTCTCCCCGGGGGCCGGAGCGGCGCGCCGCCCCCCTCCAGGTGCCGCCCCAAGCACAAGCTTGGTGGGCTGGTGCCTGGAGCCGGTCCTGATTTCAAGGGACCGTTCAAGGTGAAATGGCCTGTTAACATGTGTCCGGGGAGGATAGGAAGGGGAGGAAGCAGCTGGGGGAGGGTTGTTAGTGGGTTACTACAGATGTTGTAATAAGCCATAAATCCAGTGTCACTGTGCAGGCTGTGATTTTTAATAACAGCGAGGACTCTCTCTTCATGCAGTGTGCACACACCTGCCTCCGCTCTTCTCCCTCTTTGCGGCTCAGGGACCGCGCCACCCGCCTCCCCGCCCCTAGGATTTTTAACAGTTGCTTTTCGTGTGCTTGCGCGGTGCGAACTTTAGACCCGGCCCCCGGCCCTCCCCTGCCTTTAACTAGAAGAGCCTGCTGTCCCTCTAGAAACTTCTCAGTCCCGCCTCCTGTCGCTGCCGCGCCTCTGCTCCGAGCTCCTGCGCTGCTCTCCGCCGCGCGCCGTGTCCACCCCGTGCTGCCGCGCCGCGCGCCGTGCCCACCCAGCGCCCCGTGCCGCCGCGCCGCGCGCCGGCCCCTGCTGCGGAGCGAGCCGCGCCATGACTGCGGAGGAGATGAAGGCGGAGGGGGCTCCCGTGGAGGGCGCGGACATCACCCCCAAGAGCGACGGGGGGGTGCTCAAGGTAAGGCGGGGGCTGGCGGCGGTGCACGGGGACGCACGCGAGCGCCCCCCGGGCCGGGCCGCGGCGGGGAGGCAGCGCTGGGGCCCGCCCGGGCGGGACGCACCTGGCAGCAGCCTGCGCCTTGCCCCCGCCCCAGTGCAGACCTCGGGGCCCGCCGCTCCTTGCCCCGAGCCGGGGCCCGGCTGCCGTGTGACCGCTGCCCGAGCACCGCTTCTCCAAAGGCCGGGCGGTAACCAGGCTACCGGCCCGCCGCGCCGGAGGCATTTACAGCTTCCGCGCTTAAATCTGAGCCTCTCGTCTCGCTCGGTCCCCCCCAGCGCACGGCCACGTGCGTGTCTGCAGCCCGCGGGCTCCGGGGCGCAGCAAGGTGCAGCAGCGGGCTCCGTCTTGCAAGGGGCCAGGCACTTGCCGGCCGCTGCGCCGCTGAGCTCCTCTCCTTCCCCACGCTCCCAATACAGTGAGTGCATCAAATGGTTCCAGCAGCAGCCTTGCCTGGAGGGTGGGAGGCAGCTGGAGTGACCTGTTACAAGTGATTGGGGCCCAAGAGAGCCAAATGCATCCCGTGGAGACTGCAGGCTCCATCTTTAGCTGGTGTAATTGATGTGGTTCCACAGAAATGCAGGGCGCTCTGCTGAGTTACAGCAGTTGAGAATCTGACCCTAAAGGTCCCAGAAAGGGATGCTCCATCTTGATGTGCATGGCCGCCCCCCCGACAAAGATGGAACACTGCATGCTTGGACCTGTAGTCACCTTGGGCCCCACCTCCCCTCTTTTTTAAAAAAAAAAAAAAAAGAGGTGAGGCTGCTATATATCAAATCTTGTGCAGATAAGATGCGGCCTGTAGAGTGTTGGCAAGCTGCAGATGCAGCTCTCAGCTGGGCCAAGTCCCTGTGCCCTTGCATTAAGAGGCATGGTTTATTGCCAAACTGACTGCAGTGATGCCTCTGATCACTCTACCCAGAATGGCAGAAGTCTGACTTCTCTTACTCTCTGCATTTGCAAACCCTGTGTAGCTAGCTTTCTTATTTATTTATTATTTGTTTGTTTGTTAGGTATTGTGTCTCCACTTTCTCCACCCAGACTGCAGAGTAGAGCCCTGCACAGGGCTATTTTTTTTTAATCCCACTCTCTCCTCCTCATTGTCTCTTGCATTTTTATTCCACTTCCATCCCTCAAGTCCCACAAGAGAAGGAGAGATTCCCCCATGCTACTTAACAACAACAACAAAAACAACAACCCAAAGAACAGTGTAATATAAAAGGAATTCAGCTGCAATTTTTTACGTGATAAACTGGTGAGAGGTTTAGTGTTTTCCTGCAAATTAGTGCAGTCTGTTCTCCCCACCCCATCCTGCCCACAAGAAAGTACTTTTTATCTGCTCCTGCTATTATGATGCAGGGATAGCTCAGTGGTTTGAGCATTGGCCTGCTAAACCCAGGGTTGTGAGTTCAATCCTTGAGGGGGCCATTTAGGGATTGGGGCAAAAATCTGTCTGGGAATTGGTCCTGCTTTGAGCAGATGACCTTCTGAGGTCCCTTCCAACCCTGATATTCTATGATTCTGTGATCCCAGTTCCCCTGCAGAGTCCCTTTTTCAAAAGTCTGTTCTGATGATCATGGTTAGTCTTGTTGAAATGTGAGCATGCTGGTCAGTCAGGGCACCCAGATACTGCACCAATAAAGACTATATGGAACGAAAGACTTTGTCCACCCTCCTTTTGGGCTGGGTGGATTTCCTTGGGTCTATCCTGTAACCAGCTGTGTTAACATACGTGTATTTTCAGTAAAAGTGTATTTTCACTCTCTTTAGTGAAAACCAGTAGACTTTTAGCCTGCTTTCCCAGACCAGAGTTGACATGGATTTCTTTTCTTAAAACAAAATCCTGGACTCTGGAGGATCAAGTCTGTCCTCCAAGAAGTGTTCTAGTCATGGAAACAAGGGCAGAATCAGGCCTGTACACAGGTTTTGTAATGGGGGAGGGGGATTCATTCACATGTCAGGGAAACTGCAGACACTTGCATGGCTTATTTGAAGTTTACATAGCATGTATGGGGATGGCTAAAATGCAGCCACTTCATAGAGTTAGCCGCACAACTCAGATTGCTGTGTACTTTGACACCCCCCCACCCCCGATGCATGATGCCTGTTAAGATTTTGAGATGTGATGGATTTGGGTGACTGTTATTTCACAAACCATAAAATCCTACACTGGGGGTGGGGTTAGGGAAAGAAGGAAGGGTAGGAAAATAGGACTTTGACTTTAACAAGATTGTCAAAGTGTTCTCCTGCCAGGAGGGAGTGCAGTGCTGAGCAAAGGAGTGCACCTGAGGGATGCTGCATCACCACTTACCACGCTGCTGTGGGCAAAGCAGCAAGCCACATACTTTCCCTCTCTGTTCCTGTGAAGGGTGGTGCAAGATAGAGCTGACCACAGGAGCAGCTCTCAGGTACAGGCTGTGGACTCAGGAAGTAGCCTGCTGATCCAACCTTTGTGTCTGAGCTCCCATAACACAAGGCCATGGCTCAAGTACAGTACCTTCTGTCCCCACCCCAAGCAGCATGAAGCTTTCCAGTGAGTGAAACAAGACCAGAAGGGAGTGGTGGTGGGGAAAGGAAAAGGAGAGATGCAAAGGCAGTGAACAGAAGAGTCATGGCCTCCATGCCACGACAAGGTGTGAGGGAGACGTGAAGTCCATCCAACAGTTTCTCAGGGGGATTTTATTTAGACACGCGCACACACACCTCTTACATCAGTAGAAGTCCATGGAGTTACGCTGGCATGAAACCAGTGTAATGGAGTTGGAGCACCAGGCCCAGGCACTCCTGTAAAGTCACTCCTGACTGTGTCTCCAGGGTGTGAGGGGAGTCAGTCCCTACTCGCCCAAATGCAAATACACTTTGGTAGGGATCATGGGCTAGCTGGCAAGATGAACTAGCACAAAGAGCAGTGTGGTCTGCCTCTGTTCTTGAGCTACTACAGAATTATAGCATAATTAGTCAAGGGGCTTTTGTGTATTGACTTAGGAGCAGCAGAATTGGGAGGGATGAAACAATAGGATTTTCTCAGTCTTAGAGACCTGTCCAGATTCTGCAGACTGGCTGTTTGTGTGGCATAACCCCACTGAAATCAGTGAGCCTGACAGATCTCTCATACTGCAATTTTTCACTGGTACAGCTCCCTAGATTTCAGTGTGTTGCTCCCGTTTCTCAGCAGTGTTAGATTACAATCAGACCCAATGGCTGTACCTTGGTTACTGGAAGCAGCATCTGGCCTATGAGTTTGGGCCCAGCACTTGTGCTTTTCAATAAATAAAATTAACCTAAAAATGAGAGCATAGGGAGCATAGTCATACTATGAATGGAAAAATTGAGATTCTCTTGGAAGGGAAATGTAAACATTTCATTCAGGATAGGAAATTGAAAATACTGTCAGTATTGCAGGTGATACTTGCTATCATCCAAACTGAATGAAGCACAAAAAGTAAACCACACATAAGTGGTGCAAGGTCAGGCACGGCTCTCTTTTTGTTTGGTTGGTTGGGTTTTTTTTTTTTTTGAGTGCCTAAGCTGAGACATCTTAAAGGAATTTGACTCTTCAGAGTGGGTGCCCAGCACTTTCTGAGAGTGACCCCACTTCAGGGAGGTCTCAGATTGGCACCTCCACATCAATAGCCACTCCTGACAATTCAGGTCTGGATTTTATTATTATTTTTTAATAAAAAAAAATTCTAAAATCTAAAGCAGCAGGTGGCATACAATTGGTGACACCAAGGGCTACTCTGGTAATTTTCCAAGACCCAAAGTCTATGCTATATTTCCATGTAAATATACTTGCCTAAATCCAAAAATAGCGGCCTACAACCATAGCAGTTGCTTGAACGTCTGTCTTCCTTGACAGATGTCATGAAGTTGTTTGTCTCAGTTCATCAGCAATATTTTTTTTTTTTTTTTAAGCAACCCTCAGATTGGGTGGGAGGGATGGCAGCTATTGGCCATCATGTAGTGGCTGACGGGTTGTATTTAGCTTTTGGGCTTTTCTCCCTATATAAATCTATACAAATAGGGGAATTTTTTTTTCTGTTACAGCTGGCACTGGTGGCTTTCTATTATTATAACACTCTGTTTCAATTGCTGATAAGTCTGTCAAACTCTATCATTCTGGACTGAAACTCTGTGCTTGCGCTCTACCTTAGGTGCTACAGTTCAGTCCTTTTCAAGAATGAAGCTGGTAGGAGGGGCACACAGGAGGGTTCCTATTACTGGGTAAAGCCTCGTACACCGCTACCTCGATATAATGCGACCTGATATAACAGGAATTCGGATATAACATGGTAAAGCAGCACTCCGGGGGGGCGGGGCTGTGCACTCCGGTGGATCAAAGCAAATTCGATATAACGCGGTTTCACCTATAACCCGGTAAGATTTTTTTTTTTTGGCTCCTGAGGACAGCGTTCTATCGAGGTAGAGGTGTACCTTAGGAGGAAGGCAAGTAATGTTTCCCATGTTACAGATGGGGTAACTGAGGATCACAAGGTTGCAGGAGGTTACTGCTTGTCGAGCTGGGAATTGAGCCCAAGTGGCAGTGCTGCTTGGAAAGAATATGCCAAATCTGTGTATTTGGATATGTTGTCTGTAAAATGGGCTATCCCCCACCACCTTTACAAAGTGCTGTGAGTCCATGGATGAATGAGTACCATGTAACCAAAGAGCTTTAACTCTGTCCCCAACTAGATAACACTTGGATTTGGGACTAGAATCCAGGAGTCCTAACTCCCCATCTAATGTTAGAACATGTCCTCACACAGAAAGAGGCAGGGCTTCTTTTTCATTCACTGCACGTACGTTTTAGTACAAAGTTCTACCTCTGTGGTTAAGACAGCCATAAAGCATATGCACAAGGAAACTGAATTAAGGTTTTGTGGATTACCTTAATTTTGGCACTTCCTAACTTTTGGGTGACGTCCCTTTAAAGTCTGGGGAATGAAAAGTTAGCTGATAGTGTCCCTTTTCCAAATAGGCACTATGCTGTGAAGCAATTATGTAAGCAACTCTTTGCTAACATATTTAACAGTAGTTTGGTCAATGTTGGGATAAAAATATTTCCATGAGTATGTCAGTGATTTCCTCTCAGTAGAGCTGAGAGGAAGTTAATCTCACTCATTCATGAAATTGTGATGACCACCTTTCTCTCCCTGCCATAATAATCCCCAGTGTTGTGCTAAAACTGTCTCTCGTAAACTTTCCCATTTTGTGCTGGGTAAGTCCTGTAGTTGGATTTAGTTACCATTTTTAAAAAAACAAAACAAAAAACAAACCTCCATTGGAAACCTGATATTTTCACTTGCTTCCTTTCAGACAGTTAGTGCATCTTTAAAGGCTGCAATTTTCAAACCTAGTGCCTGTAGTTAGGCTCCTAAATCTAGATGGCTAATGCATATTTGGATGCCTCAAAGCTTCAAAAATGTTCTTGCTCTTTCAGAGCAAAAAGTACACCTACCAACCCAAAATAGTTCAAATGCAAGAATAGCTTATTGTAGCCAGGTAGTATTTTAGGGTGAATAAAACACAGTAATAGTAGTAATCTCCCCAGTTGGCATTGTCCAGGAAATCTGTATAGATACAAGGAAGCTGAGAGAGCTGTTTTCCGTAATTTCTAATCTAAAGAACAAAGTGTTACCTCTTAGGATAGTTTAGGTCTGCCTAGTGTTATACACACGGCAGAGTTATGTGACTTTGTTATCCAAACTGTATTTTTTGTATCCAGCTCAGTATCACTTATTCAGCATTTCTTTCTCAGGTTATCAAGACGGAAGGAACTGGGACAGAGTCTCCCATGATAGGTGATAAAGTGACTGTCCATTATACAGGATGGCTTCTGGATGGCACAAAGTTTGACTCTAGCCTGGACAGGAAAGACAAATTCTCATTTGATTTGGGGAAAGGTAACATCCCATGTTTTGTGTTTAACAGTCTGTTTGGCACCATTCAGACTGAGGCCCCATGTATAATGATTGTGGCTCTATTTAATTGTTCCATAATTGCAAATTTTAAAACTCCTACATAATTGTGCTCCAGGAACTAAATGTTAATTTTTTAAATTATTAGACGATTTTTGAAGAATACACTCCATTCACATTCAGGAGGTTGTCAATGCAGCAATGCCTGCCTAAGGGGTTTGTCTACATGGGAAGTCATTCCTGATTTATTCTGCCCAATTAACTCTCTGTATGAATGTTCTTAGTATGGAATAAGAATGCCTTCTTTCAGATTTTCTTAATGCACTTCCAAAGCGGATTAAGCTAATTTGGAATAAGGCATTCTTATTCCAGAACAAGATCATCCACATAGGAAGTTAATCATGAAAAACTATTCCCCTTTAAATAACATCCTATTGTAATATGGATTAATTTCGTCATGTAGAGAAGCCCTAAGAATGCAGATGGTCTGAAACAATAGCCTAGATAAGTGAACTGTCACATTCATCTCAGTGGGGGATTCACCCTGAACTGTAATGATAACTTAAAATATCCACACTGGCCATTTCACTCCTCTCATCCTGGAAGAAACCTCAAGCAAGCCATGTCTATTTTTGATGGTTGGATATTGAAGCAGATTGCAGTGGGGCAGTTGTCAAACTGTGGAGGTGGAGAATGAGGAAACCAGCCCCTCTGCCCCTAAACTTCTAAGTCATCCTTGGTCAAAAGGGAGCAGGAAAGAAGAAAAGCATGCCTCAACTGTCTCCTTGGTGCCAGAAGCCTAGTCACTCCTTCCACCATTTCAAAACTTCCAGCTTCTCCCAGACATCTTGTACCTGGCACTTACATTTTGTCAATACGAAATTTCAGCACAGTTAAAATTAGGGGCCAGGGTAAAATTGACTGCCCTAAAATAATTAGCACAAGGAATAGTGTACCAATTGGATAAGGGGCAGTGAATAAGAGGGCTTGGTGTGGCCATGTCATCGGAGGTTTAG